ATATCCTAATGTCGAATTTAATGCCCGGAACTGACAAAAGCATGCAAAAAATAAAAACCATTACAAAAATATAATTAAACAACAAACAAAAAAGAAAAATACGCGCATTTTGCACGTTCTTATTATTATTATTGTTTTGATTTCCGCATTTGGATTCGCGACAAGTCAAGCAATTAAAGCTGTGAGAATTTCACAATAAGAAATACGTATTTCACACACATTTACGGCACAGGTGAATCGATTGAATACGTATTTAAACGAATGTTGAAATATTTTCAATTAATATTTGAACGCCGTTCATTGTTTGAAGAGTTCAGCAACTATTTTATGTACAAAATGTACCCGTGCATATTTTATTATTATTTTATGTTATGTTATGTCTAGTGTTAAGGAGCAGGTGTAGTTGGCTAGATAGTCGATATCTGTGTGCGTGGGCCGCATTAACATGCGCTATGCACAAAGATAAGCGATCAGAGCACGAATCATAATTGCAAATCAGAATATTACACATTATTAGTAACAACATTGCCAATCAATGCGCACCTTTTATTGCAAAAAAAAAAGAAAGAAGAGAATGCAACTGTGTTTTGTTCTCACTTTTTATATGTGAATTGTTTTTTTTTTTTTTTAATCAGTTTTCGGAAAATGTTCCGGAACGTTGGCGCGTGCGCTGTGTGTTTTTTGTTTTCCACCTTTTCAGGAGCGTGTTGACGCGTCAAGAACTCAAACCAGACTCAATTCAAAATATTCGAAATGGCCAAGAGCCGCGTGTGAAATACACGAGCAAGGCGAGCTGCGACTGCGGCAGTTGCTCTGCGCGCGTCTGTGTGTGTGTGTGTGTGTGTGCTTGTGATAGTGTCTGTGCGTGTGTGTGTGTGTGCGCTCATAAGCAATAATGGTCAACGGCTTTTTGCATTCATACCTTGCATTTGACGGCGTTCGTCTCTCTCCCTCTCGCTCTCTCGCTCACTCAGAACTCTGTTGAGCGACAGTTCTGTTATCTCAGTACATTTTGCTGTTGTTGCATTCTTCTTAAATGCAATTTGCAAATTTTAGTTTTTGATTGTTTAAAACTCTGTTTGTACTGTTTTTAAAAACGTTTTATCAGTTTGCAAAGCTGTTAAAATCAGTTTTTTTTTTTCGCAACAATATTACATGCACTTAAATAGTAATACAAAAAGCTTAACAGTTTCTTTGCCAAATTCGCACGTGCGTGCATAAAAGAAAGGCGTTATTATTATCCGTTATTGTTCAATGCTGTATGTAAACTTTTTAAACGGCACGCACTGGGGAATATTTCTAAAATGTACTTGGCTATAAATACAATTGTGTTTAAATTACCGATGTATTTTTGGGAAGAGGCTTAATTCCACAAAAATTGTTCAGTTAATTTTATCAGCAACAAGATGTTTTTATTTATTTATTAATTATTTTATTGGCTGGTCCAATATTTATTTATTTTATATTCGGTCTGCCGAACATTAAGAAATTAAATAAATAAATATTAAAAATAAATAACATGACATCATATAATTAAAAAAAATAAAATAAATAATATTAATAAAACAATTAAAATAAGAAATATTTTATGTTCCAATAATAAATAAATAAAATAAGGAAATTGAAAAAAAAATGTTTTGTAAAAAATAAAATAAACAAATAAATAAAGAAATAAAAAATAAATAAAAAAAAAAGTAAAATTAGTCTAAGCCAAACAACTTTGTTTTAAGCTCAATGTCCAGTAAAGTGCTTAAAGACAAACAAGACTTTTAATTGGCGATCTGAGTCAAGATCTGGGCATATGGAACATCTCGATCGCTTCAAATTTCTACTATATATAGTCAAGCGATTCGTCTGGCTATTGGCCAATTCGCAGATCTATATTCCACTTAATTTCCACTGCCTGACAGAACGGATCTTAAATAAAAGTCCCAGTCCCTAGTCCCGAGTGGGAAATATATTCCTAATGGCTTTGATTTTGATGAAATTTAATCAAATTAATGAAATAACACAATGAGTTCTATTGCGCTTCACACAACACGATCTGCCATTTATTTACATTGGTTTGTTTTCCACTTTTCCGGTTTCGAGCAACAAAATATAGTATCTTTCTCCGTGCAGTTCTATCTAATGCGAGACTCGTTAAATTAGTCAGCTTTTGTCAGATGGTCTTGAAGTCTATTTATGGGTCCTTAGCAGGTGAACAACAAATAAGTTAGGCGAAAGTCACAGTTTCTAAGAGCTATTATATAAAGTAGTATAAAAAGTATTTCTGAAATACAGCAACAATATCATGAGTCCGAGCAGCATCCTGTTTAGCATATTCCAGTCGGGTATTATCGACTGCGAGATACCCGTATGTATACATACAGATCTTTAAGGGAGTTCATCAGTTGCCAGCCGAGCACACTCAAAGATATAGATTTGATCGATTTGCTAGTTTTAAGACTTTTGTTGCTTATTCATTTCCTGAAGTTCGACCGAGTCTTCCACACAAACAAATATGCTCGTTTTGCACGTATTGAGGGGGTATCAAAAATGAGTGCCAGGGCATGGAACTGGAAGGGTAAGTGTATCGGCATTGCATAGCCATAGTCCAATTGGAAATTGATATGGAACTCACGACAAGTGCACGTCTCAGGTTCAAGGATGTGCGGCACAATGCGGCGTATGAGCAATTTATGCACGTGCCGATCGAACGATGAAGCACAAGTACGATACGCGTCTCGTATATGCGTTATGCGACATGACAATATTCAAAATTCTTGGCCGTTCGATGGCACAACATGAATTCGAAAGGCGCAACAAGTTCGTGATCGAGCTGCGGTGTTCGTTACACCTGCAACTGGGGCCGAGCACTTGGAACGCATGGAAATGTACGGCATTAAATTGGCTGTTGTTGTTGTTGTTTTTCTTTTGTGTAGCGCCAGTTAAATGAATTGCATGAAACTCATGACTGCGCTTTTCTGGTCAATTTGGACTTTCTACGAATATGGCGCATATTGATAAACAATCAATGTTAAGTTCGAACGATCGAACGATCGATGTTTACGGAATTGAACAATTGGATTATATAAGCCAACAACCAAATGCTTAAACGGAAGCATCCATATTCACCATCAGAGATGAGCTCGTGCCGTTGAGAATTTTCAAAAGTTACGATATGATTTCTGCTAAAATATGTACTCATCTACATATACATAAATATATATATTTAATATTTATAAATATTTCAAAAATAATAATATAAGCGAAATCACTTTTTCACACATTTTCCGCAAGCGCAAGTTCAAGCTCTTCGTTCTTTACTTCGACCTCAATTTTCACCACGCGGCGTGAATTTTCGCATTGACTAAATCACCTTTCATATGCTTTCACACATATTTTCCGTTCGTTATTTTTTTTTGTCTTTTTGAAACGCGCGTTCATTTCTTTATAAACCGATTGAGCTTTATCTAAGCTTTTCCACTCAGGCCGCTGGATTTACCGCCCATTTTCCACAGCTACGCGTGGAATTGTTCATACTCGTTTCTTTGCCAATTAGCCCTCGTTGAGTCTCGTTGGTTTCGGCTCGTTCTGTTGTCGCCCGAAGATATTTCGTGTGTTAGCACGAGCACGAGACTCGTGTTGTTTGTCGCCCGAAGATATTTCGTGTGTTAGCACGAGCACGAGACTCGTGTTGTTTTAACTGTCGATTCAATTCACATAACTTCTTTGCATGTAGAAATTGATTTCGGTGGACGATTTGAAGGCCGTTGGTCGGGCAATGTCGAAACGGTTTCGATTAGATTGATTTAGTTTCGTTCGGATAAGATTAATTTCAATTTTCATTGAGACTCGTGTGTGTGTGTGTGTGTGTGTGCGTGTATTCTTGAACAGGTATGAGTATAAGGCATGGAATTTCCGGAGCGTGCCAATTGTTATTTATCTGTTTCCCATATGCCCGTTTGATGAAATGATTTAATTGCAATAGATAGTGCATTCTAGAGTATTGCAAGTTCAAAATTAATTTTTAATATTTTGATAAATTGTAGCAAAAATACATTTTATATATTTCGAAGTTCGGCTTTTAACTGAATCGAATTAATATTTATATGGTCGATCTTTGGACACGCTTATTAAATTTCAAATGCAAACACTTTTAATCCGTCAAAGGCCTGGAAAATTCCATTGAAAAACTTGTTTATGCGCCACTTAAAAAGCAAAAACAAACTATTTTATATGCATTGAAAAAACTATGGAAAATTTTTTTGGTATCTTGTAAAATGTACCATTGCCACAGTTGGTTAGTTTGGATGTGTTTGCGGCTCGAGAAAGATCTCTGCAATGGAAATTATTCACAAGCTCAAAAGCGAATGTGATGAAAAGTGAAAACTCATTAAAACACGAAGTGCTTAAAGACATTTGCCTAGCTGGGTTACCCATACCGATTGTTCCTTATGATGCTGCACGATTTATATGTATATATAGATATAGTTTGTGAAGAGCATCGTAAAGTTCGTAATACTGAAGTTTGGTTTGGATTAACTTGAATTGAATCAGCTATTTTGAATGCACGATCAGGTTGCGCCAAAGTTTTTCAAATGATATAGTAGTATATGATATAGTGTTTCGATCTGTTGCCTTGCAGCGCATTTTACGAGTTGAGCGACTGAAAACGTTTTGTTTTATTTTTTTTTCAAAAAACGATTTTCAAAACGACTTTTTACTCAAATACAAAGCTGATCATTTGTGTGCTAATCATTGATCACAAAAAATAAACAAAACTTTTTGTGACTTTGCGGGTTGACGGCAAAACAGCGTCCCGTAATTTATTTACACGTAGAAAATATATAAAAAAAAAAAAAACATCGCTCATCATGACAAATGGGCATTAAAAACTATTTCGCGGCACATGGATCATAAGTAATTGTCGTACATCATAGCTATGTAATATAAATACATATATATACATATATATATATATATATATATATATATATATATATATATATATATATATATATATATATATAGGTTATGGCTATTTGAGCCAGATGCTTGAGAACGTGCTAGTCGCCCGGAGCGAAGAGCTAGTGCTGCTCCTCCTCGCCAAAGTGCTTGACAATCTCCTTGAGGCTCTCGTAGGAGCCGGTGAAGAAGCCCAACAGCGCCAGAACGAGAATGATGAGATTCTTGAGGCAAATCCAAATGCCTGGCCCCTTGTTCGGCTCGCTGCGCGCAATCAGCTCGATGACAGGCGGAAAGACCAGGGCCAATGCCGTGGAGCAGAGCGCGCCAATTAGCGAGATGAACAGACTCAAGGCGGGCACCAGTTCCGCAATGGCCACTAAATGGTGTATGTATGCACTGTACTTAAGCCAATCCATGCTCTCTGTCCATGTCTACTTACGCGTCACGAGCACCAGCAGGCTGCGGAAGATGAGCTCCCCGTTGAGGGCACGGCCTTCCAGGCCGCACATCTGCTTGGCGCTGGGCCACATGATCTGGACAGCGACAAAGAACTGCAGTGGATAGCCGAGCAGGACGCCCATGGAGACCATCAGCTTGACCGCCTGCGCCAGGCTGCGAGTGTGTGCGTGTCAGTGAGAGAGTGTGTGTGTGTGGGGAAAGTAAATGGTAGGGTTTAAGCGTGGCGCCCAAAAACTGCTTGAAGATGGGCGCGTGACACGAGGCACGCCAATTGAATTTTCACAATAAACCGCATCCTGAATGAAACAAGTTTACGAATTGAGCCAGCTAGCTGGTTCGAATCGTGAACCGCAACTGCAACTGCCTGTTCCCTCCGTGAGTCACGCGTGAGTGCCTCGTGAGCGACACGCCAATCTTCAGCTTTGGAAATTAGACGTTTGCATGCTCACATGGTATCGCCAAGATTGAGCGTTAGACTGCCGCCAACGTGGTCGCCCCATTTCATGTAGCCGACAGAGCCGGCGAACATGAACATGACGGAGACAAGGAACATGCCGACATTGAGCACGCCCAGCGTGCTCTCAAACTGGTGCGGCTTACGCATGGCGTTCTTCAGCGGCATCACCAGGGCGATGCCCTCGAAGGCAAAGATGGCGGTGCCGAAGAAGAGCGCCAGCTGGGAGCCATTCGTCCAGTAGGCGCGTTCCCTCACCTCCGGCAGGCCATCCTTCAGAGCATAGTACAGCGTTATGGCCAGTCCCAGTATCATGCAGACATTCGCGAATAGCGATACCGGCGTCAGCCATTTGAGATTCGTTATCAGCGAGCTGAGCAGCACCGGTGCCAGGGCCAGCAGCATCACCAGATGCACATCCATGTCAATGCCATACGCTTGCAGGATCTTCGATGCGGTGTGCGTGTGTGTGTGTGTGTGTGTGTGTGTGAAGTAAGCGTTTTTGTCATCAGCTGTAGCCGGTCAACATCCACCTGGCCGCACTCACCTGCTTCACGTTGGTGCTGATGAACACAAAGTAGATGCAGCAGAAGCCCAGCTGGGTGACACAGATGAATATGTCCACCAGGTGGCCCATGGTGCGCGACCAGCCGCGCAATTTGATGGGCCCATTCTCGAAGCACTGCTCCACAGTCGCCGCATAGTCCGCACAGATTGCGTCGCCGCGCAGATCGCGCATCTTCCGGGAGCAGGCGATGAGCACGTGCTGACAGTGGATGCTGATCACCGCGATGACGATCGTCAGCAGCGGCCCGACAATTAGTCCACCGTTCTTGAAGGCATCGCCCATGGCAAATAGTCCTGGTCCAATGTTGCCCTTGAACAGATGCACAATTGTCTCCAGGTAGCTGCATTTTGGGATAGAGTCATGCAAAATGCGATATCGATAACGTGCACGTTTATCGGATCGGTTCTCAAAACAAGAGGCGGGAAGGATGTGGTTTGGAGCACGGTTAGTCGGGGTTTACACTTCGCACTTGGAGCTATAGTTAAATGGAGCACGAATCGGGTTTTCAAGGTTAGTTGATAGCGTTATTAACAAAGCTTCAAAAACGGGTTTGACACGAACCGGTTCACACGCGGAATTAGTAAAGAATCAAGCGTACCTTAAGCCCAACTGGTTTTATAATAATCAACTGAACCGAAAGCCGAGCCAACTAGTTGGGAAAGGGAGATGCCCATAAGAACCATAAAATTTTGGTTAGAACTCAAAACTAGCCAGCATCTTCTATAGCAAAGTATATACAAATCTCAGTACAACGGGCAGTTGATAATTGTAATGCAATTGTTTGACAACAACCTTATGAATATACATAGGTCAAAGAAGGGTTTGAACCGAGTCGTTGGTTCAAGGATGTGCAACAATAGCGAGTGATAGTGAGTTAGTTCGAAAAGCGAATCGAACCAGCGGCAATATTTATATTTCGCCCTGATTATAGTTAGCCGAGGGTTGCTAAGGTTGACCTAAACAGATCAGCTTAAGGCCTCTTCAAGCGGATGGACGTCAAGCTAGGTCGGAGGTACGGAAAATCCCAGCAGTCAGTCCCTTCCAACTTGCCGTTCATTAAATAGAGCTGACTATTCAGAATATTTAAATTGGGCTTACCGAGAGCATCGAATTCAGTTGAGTTTTTAGTGGCATTTTTAGTTGGTTTTTAGTGGGTTTTTAGTTGGTTTTTAGTTGGTTTTTAGTGGGTTTTTAGTGGGTTTTTGTAGTGGGCTTTGCTTTTGATTGCCGTAAGCCTTAAATCTGGAGCAATTGTTGTGCCAAGCATTTTCTTAATAGATTAAATAGTTTTGATTTGGATGAGTTATGGCTTGTTAGTTAGTTCACATAATGTTAAGTTGTTTAATCAAGCCTCATGCGATATATCCGGGATTTTGTTAGTTTGGAGTCGGATATTGGGGTGTTTTTTTTTGTGTTAGTCTGGCTGTGGTTTCCATGTAGCCATACCTTGTGGGCGGATGGTAATCCCCCTCCGCCTTTGGGGCTGCAATTGCTGTTGCGCCCGCTGCCTGGACAGTTGTCTCTTCTGATTCGGTCGTTGTCATCTTTGGATAATTGGAGCACTGGTTTGGTTGCGCAGTGCTTGGCACAGATGCAGCTCTGGCCTGGGGTCTGTTGGAGGCCTTTTGTTGCAGCGCGGAATTTTAAAAGAAAGATAAAAGCTGTGCTTTAAATCGCTGTTGATTAAGTTGGGCATTCGTTCAATTGAATGGCACAAACGCGCAGTTGATGAGCTTCAATTGCCCGACTTTTGGTAAACAATTCCGGCTTGGGGCCCTCCCATAAAGCAGCTCACGGCACAAATATTTATGTACATAACATAAGCATATGATAAGATCAGACTTTCAGTTAAATAACAAGTTAATTAGAGCTTAAACATAAGGATACGCTGTTAATATTAGTAAATCTTAATTTATATTATTCAATAGTTCATTAAATAGTATTAGATCATGTGCATTTTTAGCCCTATTAAAAGAACCTCTTATTAAATTTTAAGAATTTTGTTAATTCAATTGAAACCATAAAAAAATTAAATAAAAAATATATAAATAAGTTATCGTTGGGTTTGTTTGTTAGAAAATGTTTTGTATATGTAATACAAAAGCTTCTAATTCATTTCAATAATTTTCTAATCAAATGAATTTCATATTGCAAGCAAATTGTAACTTTATCTATGCATTTATCTGTATTTGGCTTAAGCATTATCTAACAACAATTGCGATTCGGATCATGAGTAGAACCGAATGATTAATTCCAGTTTGTTATGGTCGAGTGCGTGAAAACTTGGGCAATTAATTCCATTAAGTGCTGCATATAAATCACAGCACGGGGGAATCACCTGGTTGCAGCAGTTTTCACTCAATAAACACAACTTGTGTCACAGTGAAGCTTGCCATGAGTGAAATATTTGTTTCGCTAATCGCAACAAATGGCATTATAAATGATAAGAAATGGATTTACGAGAATTTGTCAGACTTTATGATTGCCAAACCCTAAATATTAATGCATTCGATTTCATTGAGGCTTTTGCCTGATCATAAAACCCGGAGAGGGAGAGGGGGAGAGAGAGAGAGAGAGAAAGAAAGTCCCAAAACAAAGGCGTACTCATATTAAGTTTCCATTGCTTATCGTGCCGATTTGCGATGGTCATCTATTTTATATATATACCTATATATACATATATATACCGATTAGTTAGCCATTAGTTGCACAGCTGCATCAAAATGTGCGAGTTACAACTTTGAAGTTGTTTTAAATGAAATAAAACAACAATGAGACCCCTGTGAAACTATTCGCAAAATCAAACAGGTGCTTCTCAGCGAAAAACTAATGACTCGGTATTTAAATATATCACACGTTTATATCATGAATTTTATAAGTTAATTGTTTAGCGAGAGCTTTTCTCAACTCAAGAATTAAACACAATTTATTAACTGACGGTATTTTAAAGTGCTGCCAGTTATGCGACAAATTGTGGCAGCACTTTGACAACAGAAGTTTGGCTACACTCTAGATATATATGAGCACGTGTTTAATCATTTAAATTATAAACTATTCAAAGTAAATGTTTATGATGGGTAAATACAACAAAATAAGATAAGATCAGAGTAATAAACTTGAAAGCTTATTTGTTGATTTCATAGAAATGTTTAATAAATAAAGTATATACCTATTAACTGCAGCTGATTAGATTTAATAATTGGCCAAGAGTCTACCAAAAACTTTGGCAATTCATATATTTATGCTCAATTTTTGGATGATATGGCATTATAATTATTAAAACAGGACAACTGCTGCGGCAGCGGAAATTGTAAATATTGTGTAAGCGCATTTTAAGATGCGTCCATAAATTGTTCAAGTCAGGCCAGGAACAATAAATAAATGAAAATCATTGATAAATATATAAAATTATAAGTGAATTATTATAAATTAAATGTCATACTCAAAGATTAGCCACAACGTGTCGTACACAATTGAGGCTCAAGTAAGTTGAGCTGGGGCGGGCGCTGAGGATCTTGGCGCCGATAATGTGAATGATACGCTCAAGTGGGCCCAGAGATTGCGCACCTGGAAGAGGCAGCAAGGGCGAAGGGGGTGGGGTGCAATTGGGTGCTAGGTAACTAACAAATAATTGAAAACTGGGTCTCTTGGCTTTACGAGCCACCTTGAGTAAATCCAGTCAGCAAATTCATGACGCTTATCGGCAGCTACTCAAAAGCACTCAAAAACTCACGGCATCAATTGTTGTTATACTATTGTTATTGTTGTTTTCTTTGAGAGCCTAACAGGAAGCCTGACGTCAGTTGCCATGAAACGTCTGTTGGGTCTAAATATGCTAAGGAAAAGTACGCCGTGATAAGCGCCATAGCAGGCAATCTTACGTATAATTCACCCACGCACTTCTCTGCACACTATTATGCAGTAGATACACTATAATTGTTGGCTCGGTACCTCGACCAAGTCATAAATGCTGTAGTACTTATATTTGTTAATCACGAGTTGGCAGCCGCCTGGAATCAAGACAATTCAATGTCTTTGCGTGGAAATTTTCCATGCTCGGCAAGTTTTTCCACTGGCCTATGCTGGGTCCAATGCCTGCCTCTGCAATGGGCATATCCATGGGCATGGATTTGTGCAGGGGGAGCTCTGCTATCTGCTTGGCAAATATTATTAGTAACTGTTTGTCGGGAATCTGACAACAAAATTGCGTACACAACAACACAGATTGTGAATGAAAGAGACTAATTGAACAAGCTATAAAATTAATATTTTTATCTTAACTGTATTTGCGCTCAACAATTCATTTATCGTGCAGTCTGAATGACAGACAGTTGCTTATCTCGCTTGTTAAAATGTAACAGCAACAGTAGAGAGTGCTGCCAATTTGGACTCCAAAATGGGCAGCACTCAGCTTAGCTTGAAAAAACCTCTTGTTACAAATGATAAGTTGTTCAGAAAGAAGATAAGAAAATGCAATTCAATTTTGTTCGAGTGGAAAGCATGTGCTTAAAAGTCTTAAAAAGGTAGCGAACATGTTAATGCCAAGACTTTAGTTAGCTCTTAACTTTTGTTTTATATATATGGAAATAGAATACGTTTTTGGTCGGAAACTGAAGTTAAATAACATCAATCAGAATACATTTACGACTTTTGCTTATAACTTGGCTCTTACCAAAATAATATTCAGTTAATTATTATTATGAACAATTTGAGTAAGAAAGTATTCTGAACATATGTATATACAAAATATAAATACATGAGGTACTCAAATACAATACCATACTATAGTATATTTGTATGAAATCAAATCATTATTTTGGGATTTTCGAATGTATATGTACATTTCCAAGGCTCCGGGCTCGAATAGCCGGCCTATAGTATATGACGGTGGCAATCTCTTACAGGCAGGCCATATAAGGCAGTGCCATTTGGAAAGTAAGCTTTTTTATGTCCTCTATGCGAGCTGTAATAATAATGGAAAATATCTACATATATGTCCTAAAGAGTATCTTTAGTTTGTGTCGCTACAAGGTATCTGAGCCCCAATAGACCCACCCCCCCTTTGGGCCGCCTCTGCTGTCAAGTGCAGCCGCTGCGTCGCGGTGAGTACTGCTAAATGTTGTTGTTATTATTTGTTGTTATTATTTGTTGTTGTTGTTGTTGTTGTTGCTGACTTTGACTTGAATTTGCATTTGGAAAATGAAAACGAAGTTAATTTGTGCTTCTTTTTTATTTACATATATCTATCTGAGAGCGGCAAGTGTAACTGGTTTTGCGGCGTACTCAGATAATAATTAACGTGCGAGAAACAACAATAAAACAAAAAAAATAATAAAACAACAAAAAATTGAATAATAAATGGGCACACAAACTTGCTAGAGCTTAGTTCAGTTTTTGACGTTTGCTCTAAAACATCCTCTTTTTAGCACACACTTTTTAATTTGTTCTTTAGTTGACATACTAAGCACGGACGGGAACACATATGCATTCTACTTCTTATAAACACACACTCTACACACCTCTGCATCCATTTTGGCAGCTGCTGTTGTTGTTGTTATTACTGTTGTTGTTGTTGTTGTTGTTGTTGTTGCTGAGAGAACTCGGTCAATGCACGAGACGATCTGGCAAATAAATGGACGCGTAATTTGGCAAATTCTTTGGCGGGTTTTTTAATGATTTATTTTTATTGCCGCTTGCTTTCGGCTTGTTGTTCGTTGTTGTTCTGATGCTATGCAGCTGCTTCTTCTTTAGCCCAATTTTGCTAATGTGTGTCATGTATCGTTGTTATTGTTGTTGTCGTTGTTGTTGTCGTTGCTCCTGCCGTACGGATACGGATGCATTTGCCTTAACGGTTGCGATCCGGACTAATGGCTCAGAACGTAGCGTGTGTTAATCGCTTCACGAAATCATCAAGACTGACGGGCCGGGCCGGGCCGTAGCCGCTGCCGTCTCTCATTGGCGCTGACGCCGCTGCTGACGCTGACTGCGCTGTCGCTGCTGTTGCTGTTGCTGTTGCTGTTGCCGTTGCCTGCCTTCGGCATTTGACACTTTGTGCTGCTGCCGCTGCTGCTGTTGCCTCTCGTTTGCCTACCTACCCGCTCCCCCCCCCCCCCCCCGCTGCCTCACCTTCCTCCCTGCTACACTCTCCACTTCTGGCCAAACGACCCTGGCCAGCATCTGCCGCCTCCGTGGCTCATTACAAAAATATGTGTGACGTCGTGGAAAGCATTTTACATTGCGTTGCGCCCAACGGATTCGGTTCTAATGTCCAACCGGTTTTATTTTCTATATATACATATATACACATATAAACGTGTGTATGTGTGTGTGTATTTTATATATATATATATTTTTTTTTTTTTTGGTTTTTTTGTACACCCACACCCCGCAACAGCCGCCAACCCAGCGCTTGGGCATCTTCGTGTCGAGCGGCCAATTGAGCGCCTGTCCAACAGGTTGTCACTCAGGCAGGGCATCAGCTGGGGGAAACGGTTGTTGCGGTCGCAATTGCCCTAGACAACATTGCGGGTATATGTACATCTACAGCAATTTGTCGCCATGTAGGGTATCAGCGCCAGCTGCAACAATCTTAAAGTCGATATAAAGACGAAGCTTTCAACATTCGAATACGTTATTAAACCAAATTTAAAATAATATTAGCTTTGATAAATTTATGAAAATATATTATGATATTATTATTAATGTTATTATTATTAATTTATGTTAATTTTTAGATAAATTCCCCTTTTTTTGCCTTAATGTGACAACCTGACTGATTTGTTCATATTTTTGAAAACTTTTTACATACTTTTGTTCCATTTTTAAACACGCCTAAATATAGAATTAATTACATTTGCCATATATCATATTACAAATATGTATTGTTAGTTGTTGTAAAATAAACAACTAAGGGACTTCCAGGAATCTGAGTTATTTAAAAAAAAATGCAAGAACCTCTAAAAAATTGAACCATTCGTATAATCAACAATTTGGCTTCATTTCTTGTATTTACTCGATTTTTGTATTTTGTTACAGGGTATTTGACAGTAATATAGTTTTGGTAAGTAAACAAGCAAAACAACAGCACAAATTGGCAGCACTTCAAACACACTCTCAAGTATTCACGTTGAAGACAAATGATCGAATGACTGAAAGCACTTGACATACAATAACAAAAAGCCAAGTTACTTTTCTTTCCGAATTCTTGAGCATGTGTCCCCCTGCTGTTGCCAGGGTATTCGCAATTCGTTGCGTCAACGTTATGTGAACCTTTTAATAAACCGTTTCATTTATATATTTTATTTTCGTTTTATTCTTAATACAAACGCCGCCCGCCTTTTGAAGAATTGCCCATTCCATGGCTGTTTGCCGACACACACAGAACTACAACTACAACAACAACCGCATACAATGTGTTGTTGTAGTATCTGACAATGGCATATGAGATTGCCGTCTCCTATACACACAGTTTACAGTTTAATTGAATGTGAACAGACAAATTGCGGTAGCTTCGCCCACAGCCCCACCCCGCCCCGCGCAGCTCTGCTGGAGGACTACCCATTGACGTACCACTCTACCTGACCTTGGCTTGAGAATTGGCGATGAGTATAGCTTAAGCGATCTCTTTTCAAGACTTTCGATCATTTTATAGGACAAAAACAACCACAGCTCTGTATTGCCTTAACTTACAATCAAATTTACATATATATAAACATGTACATGCATTTAAAAGTGTGTATGCACTTGCCCGAAATTTCGAACGATTATTTCATTTCCATCTAATAAAAACAGGAGTTGCATGAGGAGACAGTCCTTTATGTAGGAACATTACTGAAATAGCAAAAGAGAATGAGAGCAGGTTAGTATAACAAAAGAAAAGAGAGAGAGATGGAGAGAGGGAAATTAACTGAAAAAGCACATGTGCATATGCATACATGCAAACATAAATACATAGAAAAAATAAGTTTATTAAAATGACGCCAGAACGATCCTATCTACATACATACATACACACATGTACATGCATATATACACATGTGTGTACATATACACAATATACATGCATGTCTACATACCTTTATACTTACATACATATTAGCAAACAAACTTATGTACGTACATACATACAAATATACGTAAAAATACAAGTGTGTTACACATGCTCATTTACCTACATACATATACAAACATAAAATAAACATGCATACACATACACATTTGCATTTGCATTTGAATATACAACGTATACACATATATGTATATATCATAAACACATACATACACATAAACATAAAAATATATAACTTATAAGATTGTCACTGGCACTTGTTAACGCAAAACTTATAACAAGTCCATGAAAACCTTGCTTGAATTTATGAGAATTGAGGAGTAGAGCGATATTTAATATATGTTTTACTTAAACTGGCAGCACAGCGAGAAGTCCGTAGTTGGCATAAAAGAATATATATGCATACATACATATACACATACATACAGACGTACTTATAAGAAAGCATATATATGCATCCACAAACATACATGAATACATGCATATACACTTACACATTTAAATATACATACATGCATACATACATGCATACATAGATGCATCATGCATACAAACATGCATATAAAAACATAATATAAGACTTATAAGACTAAATTGTCACTAGCACTTGTTAACACAACACTTATGATAAATGCATGAACACCTGCAAGCCTACTTCAAATTATGAGAATCGAGGAGTAAAGCGTTATTTCCTAACACGTTATGTTTAACTTTAAAGCGCAGGAGCTGGTTGATTTGTCCAGCGTTGAGTATGTATAACAGAACACGCATACATACATACATGCATGCATGTATGCATACATACATGCATGTATACATACATACATGCATGTATACATATGTACATATGTACATTCATGCATGTATTCATACAAATATGCAGACACACATACGAACGTACATACAAAAAGTGAAGCATTATTATGTATTTATGTATTTAATTATAATCTTTATACAACATGCATATCACACATTTTGTGTGCAGGGTATTTACAGATCGTTATGCTTTTGGTAAACTTTAGCACTGGTTAATTAATGTTTTATTCTTTCGAGTGAAAAGTGAAATTGACGTAACCGCCACTCTTCCAAATAACATATGAAGAAATACACTAAAGCGGACCAGTTCTTTCGTCTACAGAATGTGACTATGAAATACCCTGTAACAGGCTGCAAGTGATATATGCTAAGTGAAGCATATTGTAAAAGTTATGTATATGAACTGACCTAGATGCTACAGCTCAAGAAATATGTATATAAGTATGAATATTTTAAACTATTGAGAGCTAGTGGCCTTCAATATGTATAACTAATAATACCCTTTTGAACATTTTTCTGGGTGCAGGGTATACAATATGCGGAATTGGAAGAGGAATAATTTCACTTGCTATGGAGGAGACACACTTTTCAAGTAGTGTCTGCTTGTATTTTATTATTACGAAAGTACACACATACATAAATACGTACATACATACATGCATGCATACATATGTATGTATGTATGTATATTCTCGTATATAAAAAAAAGTGCAGTTAATATTGACTGAACCGAATTTCAAGTGGTGCTCGTGCGCACATTTTGCTCTTGGCTGATAAACATGAGAATTATTTGTGTAACCTTATATACATATATTTATATATTATAGTTATATATTTTAAATATTTAATATATGTGTACATATGATTGTACATATGTAATTACGACTGTTGGCAACATGGTCTCCTTCTGTTTGGGGCCTAAAAAGAAAACATGCAATTAAAATGTGTTGCTTTTCGCTATTGTCTATAAACATTACTATGTATGATATACTATATATATATATATATGTTTTAACTTGTATTATTATTATTAACTGCTGCTCACACACACACACATACATGTGTATGTACGCTACGCTAACTACATATCTACTTACTATCCATTTCACACTGCTTTTTCAGACTTTGGCTTCGGCTTTCGTTCTCTTTTAGAAATGTTCGCGTGACACGAGCACGAGGCTTAAGAATAAGCAGACTCCAGTCTGAGAGGAATTGTACAAATTGAATTATTCTTATTTTTTATTATTTATTTTCTATAAGAAATATATTTAAATAATTGAATTAAGCATACATTAACGGCATCCCAAAAAGTTTATTGTAATTACGAAGTTTATATGAATATTAATATAATAAAAATAATTAAATTCTTATTAAAAATAGGCTATTCAAAGTTTGAGTTAAAAAAAAATTGGCAAATTGTGAGGATAGAAAGAAAAGTTAAGTATATATATGTATAATATATATCGTACAAAGAAATTCTTGAGCTTTCATTTAAAGCCTGGAGTTTTTTAAGAAAATAATATATTCCATTCCATTCTTTCAGTATAAATGCAAGTTATTCAAAAATCTGAATATGTATTATGCATAATTTAATAAAAGTAAACAATACAATAAATAAAGTCTTACGCAAAAAAGCTAAAAAAAATAAATCAACTTTCTTTCTAGTGCCTA